AAAAACATAAATCCATGTAATCATAAAAAGTTGAACTTACATCATCATTTCTATTCAACTGTGCATCAATGACTTCTTGATCCACACTACAAGGCAGGAAGAAGTCCACCATTTCAAACTGTCCCTTTGAATCTAACACCAGGCGATCTTCACCAACTTCCAAACTCAGGTCTTTTACATTAACCTGGGAAATATAAAAGGTGTAATAAACTAGAACCTACCTGGCTTAACCCGTGGTCTTGTGGGATAAAAAGTGGCCTATGTCTTATTCCATACCATCATCTATCCATATTCCAATTTCATTCTGATAATACACATAAACATAAACTTATATACATACATAAACTTCACATTTATAATATTAGTAGTAGGACATAGGGCTATGTAATATGATGATTTTTACTGAACAGTTGTAGGGTTTCTCCACTAATGTCCACCGAAACTAGCTGGTCTGTCGGGCTATTATAAATAATATGGCAACAAATTAAAAAAAACCCAATAGAAAAATAGATTCTGCAGTCCTAGCTAGAACAATTCAAATAAAATAGTAGGACTAAGCATATGCAATAAATCTGTATCTTTTTTAAACTTAAGTATGAATACTCACACTAGAAGGTATCTTGAATTCAGCCAGCAAGTATTCAATCTCTCCAGTAGGTGGTTCACGTCTCAGTCTGTATTCCAGTTCCCTCTTCAAAGTTGGAACACTAGGCTTTTGGACAACACCTTTATCATCCAACTCCTCAATCAAAGGGGACTTAGTCACTTTCTCATTATTCTTAACACCCCTTATTTGTATTCTATGGCACTGCAAAGTACCTATAGACTTTCTATTTTTCAAAACGGTGTACTTTTGCATATCTATTTCAAATTGATACTTGTCTTGTAACCCTTCAAAGACAACAGTGAGAAAAAAGGTTTGGAACAAGTCATCTTTTTCAATTTTTTTAAAGAATTCTGGGTTTATAGCAACGTCATAGACTGTGGCTGGAGCCCCAGACCTGTCTGCTTCAGTCCTACCCTCCCCAATACTCATAGGGACTCTATAAGAGGAAGGATCTTCCGAGCTGAGAATCTGCATAAGCTCTTCATTGCTAATATCGCGGGGGCAAATAATGGCATCTGTCAGACATATATTCACAAAGACTTTCTTTCCCTCCGGTTTTGTGAAGGTTTTCACACAAAAGCCTGAAATAAAAAGAGTGAAACATTGTGAGATATGGATGACATAGAGCATTTTATTAAAACATCTCGCTTATACAGGTGAAACGAATAAAAGCTAAGAATGAACAAGTTAAACCTGAAATATTATGATTAATCGAATTGTTTACCTGGGGTGGGTTTCACAAGTTTTGATGGTATAGTTTCAACATTTGACAAAAGTTTGTTGAATTCTTCTTCAACTGGGTTTTCCTAAAATTAAGCAATACACTTTAATAATTAATAATCATCTATAGCTAAGTGAGGTGTGTGTTATTTATGTAAAGTCAAACCAAAACTTACTCGTACAATCCTCATATTCTTTTCCATAATTGTTGGATCGACGTCCAAAGTAATTGACTTTTTTGTCATATTGTTTAGTTTCTAGGGAACCCGGTGTATAGCAACGAAATCAACAAAGTTACGAAGAAATGAATGCATACAGGCAAAGTGTACACAACAAAATAATATCAATTTTCATTTCATTCTTCAAGTTCAAAAGTGACAATGACAATGACATGACAGTTACACATTTGACAAATTAAATTATTAGAACCCTTTTATTTTCCTAGTGATGTCCAATGAAAAGCATAAAACAGCTGTTATAACTCGAAATTAACAGAATTACAAAATCGACTTCCAATTGAGTAGGGCGGTGCAAAATTATTTTCCTAATTTTCATTGTTGTTGTTTAATTTATATGTTTGACACATCATTTATTTCTTTATTTCATTTAGTACATACTAAAGTTGTATAAAATCCTGTATTGCTGTAGAATACAAGCATATTTATATTTTCAGTCTAAGTAGAGTAAAATTATGCACTTTATATAATATATTGCAGTTGCATGCCGCGCTACTGCTACAATTATATTTAGCCATTAGCTATATACTTTTTTAAATCGAATCAGAATTTATTGAGAGTAGCTTATTCATGGCTTATTCAAACAAATAAACTCTAGCTTAGTTAAAAAAATACATAGATTAAAAAATATGTAATTAAAAATAACAACCAAAAAATATATAGAAAAATATAGAAATATAGACTAATCTAAGAAATCACACTTATACATTTTAAGATGTGTGTCCTCCAAATAATTTAATTTATCATTTTCAAAACCTAAAAGGATACTCTTCTTCTGCAAGCGTACCGCTATAGTAAGTGATAAAGAACTGCTATAGCAGTGTAAAGGCTCGCGCAAACTATAGCCGCGGCAGGTCTCAACGCATCGCATTGCAAAATTGCGCCAAAGCATATAGCAGGCGCATCGGGCCGCACCGCAACCCAATATTTTGTAATTATTCAAGTTTTGGCAATTTAAGAAAATGGATAATTCTGACGAAGAGCTTTTTTTATTCAATTTGCTGTTTAACGAAGAGATGAAGAAGAAAATAAAAAGAAAACGTAGCATATGGCTACACGACATTTGCAAGAAGAGAAATATGTATGGTGAACTTCACTCCCTTTATAAAGATTTATTAGAAGATGAAAGAAAGTTATTTCAATATTTTAGAATGACATGAAAAATATTTTGAGCTTCTCACAAACAGCACTCATTCAGCCGTCTACTTGTTGCGTCTGCTAACACATACTAAGACGGGCCGTTTTGCAGCGCATAACATCGCCACAAAAATACGCCTGGCTAGTGATATGCCAGTGCGTTGCGATGCGGCCCGGTACGGCCCGAATGAGGTGTGCGATAGCCCATACAAAATATATGGAACTCATTCAAGAAGATTTTTGTTATGCGTTGCGGTGTTAAGCGGCCCGCCTCAGTGTGCACCTACCTTTAGAAACGTTGCTTTGTTGGTAGTGCCGGTACATAGACGCCCTCGCACTCACCCTCAACTTGGGCTCAGTGTATACCTGAACTTCACAGCGAGTGCACATATCAAATTTTTATTCGTCTCGTGCGTTGCTACGGTTCGGTACACTATTTTTTGAACGTAACGTCCTACACTAGTAGTACTTTGAACCTGAAAAGCAAATATCTAATATTGTAAACTCTTTTAAACTTACAGTAGTTGATTACCGCGTACCGTCGCAATAACGACAGTGAAGTAAAAAGGCTTGGGATGGCTCGTGTCGTTCAAGGTAAGTAATTTTTATTTTTATTCTAGCTACTTCACCTGGTTTCGCCTGCTGCTCAGCGCCTATTGGTCATAATGATGATGCATGGTGTTTTGTAACCTAGCTTATAGCTTTCCTTAATGGACTATTCAACAGAAAAAGTTTTAACATAAAAGGAGAAAGATGGACAGACCTCATAGCGCCGGCAGTGGCAATTATATTACGTGGTATATTATCATGTGGTATTTATTTTCATTTTACCCTAACAATCTCTTACAAAAGTAGTATATAGGTACTTACTAAGTAAATTAATACAAAGTACCTAGTATCAACAATCACATTAATAATTATAAAGACTCCGACTTAATGCGGCTGAAATTAACAATCTCTGACGGCCCAACTCAATGACACTACAGGGGTTGCTATTGGACCGAGTACTAAAATGTCCATTTTTTTGTCAACCGATTTCCATCCAAAATGAAAAATAGCAATCTCTGTGGAGTCATGTATCATTGGATTGTGATTTGTCTGAAAACCACAAGAAGCTCTCAAAGTTTAGGTTTTAGAAAATTTTGATTTCAAGATTTATAACGATTTTTCTAAAATTGCTGACGTGGTACTTTCTTTAAGTTACAGAGTAACATTGATAGGCTTGTGTCAACTAACAAAGAAACCAATGGATGAATGTAACAAGAAAAACCGAAATAATTTCTCATAAAAATAATATTATTGTTATTTTTACAAATTAAAATCAAAAAAATACATTTCTGGCCCCTCTGCCGCGAACGCAACTAATGTAACTTAACTTTTAAACACTTTTTTCGCATTTTTCCTTGCCCGGAACACGTATGAATAATTTAGTCTGAGTTTTTATACTTGTAATTATACACTGGGGCACTATACAGTTTTTAAGACACGAAGTTTCCATTTTTATTTAAACAAACAAACTTTCGCTGCAAGTGCAATTGCTTGCAACTATGTGACGTCATTCACGACGCCATGATATTTACTTGTGTTTTTACGTCAGATTTAAAATATTTTTTTAAACTTATACTAAGTGTTATATAATTTTTATCACGAAATATTATTTTTGGTAATACAGGTACAATACTAATGATATAAGCCATTTTTGAAATTAACGGCACAGTCCTAGTGTAAACGCATATTCGGTGTCGCGGAAAACCTAACGGGTAACCAGGGCTCCGGCTCGACGTGCAGGAGAAGGAACGGGGTGGTTTTTAGTCAGTAAGAGTCTGACACTCCCTCCCGCCTCACCCAGGCGGGAGCAGTCATTCGATGATATTCCCCCCTTAAAAAATAAAGTGTAAACGCATGTGTTGTCAATACTGCGAAATATATTTTATTATATACTAGCTTTTACTCACGGCTTCGCTCGCGTCACAAAAGGATAAAAAGTAGCCTATGTGACATATACCAATACTTTTGTTTTCCCTCGGGAATATCACAATTTTCCGGGATACGTACCCTATGATTTAATCTGGACTTCTAACTTTACGTCTGTAAAAATTCAATGCAATCGGTTTAGTAGTTACGGCGTGAAAGCGGAACAAACAAACAAACTCACTTTCCGATTTATAATATTAGTAAGGATAAGGACTACGCGATATCGATTTGTAAACTGCAAAGATAGTAAGTCAATTTGAATTTCGCGGGCTATTTGAAGCATCTCCCGATTGACAACAAAAATCGTTTCATTTTCGACTTAACTCATAATACTTTAGTAACTTTTCGTTACTCTACTTGATTAGTAAAATTATAACACGCCATCTCTAAATTAAACGTCATGAGAACTAGGTCGAAGGAATAGTTCATGTCTAACTTATTGGACTATTTTATTACTATAACGAGCCCTTTTTCATAAAATTACTGTCTAATTAGTGCGCCTAAAAATCGTACTGACGATGACATTTATTTCTGAGACATAGTTGGGTTTGATAAAACTTAGGTGAAGAATCAATCGAAGGTAAGGGTATCATTCAGTCTTTAAAATTGTTTGCCATATTTCATCTATTTGAACTTTCTTTTATGAGTTTATGTTGCAATTAACTTCATATTTTCAATGATTAGGCAGCATAATATTGTTTAAAAGTTCAAATCTTTCACTATTATTCTTGAGAGAACTAAACTGTGTTGTGGCGAAAAAAAAATTTAGACCTAGTTTGTCAGCTGTGTTAGTGAATGTAGAGGTACGTATGCATAATAGCTATCAGTATCGGTGTATTTACCTATATCACAGGTATTTATAAAAGTTCATGTATTAAAATAATATATTTTACATACATCTGAGCACTTACTTTCTCAAAAAAAGATTTTAGTTAATATTAAATTTTTAATCTAAAACTAACTTTGATATCTATTTTAAAGCCCTCCAGTATGTTAATTTAGTCTTAGCTACACATTATAGTGTTAAAGTCTGTTAACTTGAACACAGGGTTTTAAACACCTATCTTTTTAAAATATCAAAGATTCCTATTTAGTAAAAATGTAGCCCATGCCCTTTGGAAACCTGAAGAAAAAAGTGCCCTAAAGTAGTAATTATTAACTTCTAAAAATATAATCCAAAATGTTATATAAAGCCAGCTTTAAAATTACTATAGACAAAAGTATTAGAATTCCTAGGAAGTGAATATGTAGTGTGGGCAGGTTATAATTGCAGTTACATGATAAATACATACCTACTTGCAATTTATTTAATGTACATACAGCCAGTGTACAGTACCTACTGTTATAAAAGTAGTTTAAACATAAATCTACATAAAGCCACACCCTGTATCTGTAATGTGTAAAAAGGTTTACATGAGAAGAAGACATTAAGTTAGTAATAATAAAATTGGTTTAGTTACTTTTTTAACACAGATATTACTTTTACAGTGTTGTTTTTTTGGACACATTGCCTATTTTGGGTCTTAAGTCTGCCACTAAAATGTCAGGATCATTTTGTCTCCTTATATTAAACTGTCAAACACCGCGAGGAGACCGGTGACCGCAACTTACTTACATAAAGGGTTAATAAGCGATTCTCTACTAGTATATTTTTCACTGATATTCTCTTCAATCTAAATTTCAAAATAAAAGAAAAAGAAAATGAGATTACCTTAAACTAAACTGAAATCATTGTAGTTATCTAAGTGACATTCACTGATAAGAACATGAACTATTTGATTGAACTAAGCATTGCATAATAAATTAATTTTACAAATGCAACAACTTGGTTCCATCTATTATGCGCCACATGTTCACATTTCAAACATTCAGAGTAATTTTTAACATTTTGTTACAGGTAAAAAAAACATTTATGGCCGAAAACCAAGTGTCATAATGACGGATAAACATAGCCTGAATTATGATGTGAGAGAGTTGAAGCTGGGAGCGACTTTTACTAATAACAAGGCACCACAATACCACACAATCAAATGTAAGTAGTAACTCACGGTACAATACATTTATTAACACTCTACTCGCAGGTGATGTAAAAGTCTGTAAAGGTACTACATATTTACCCACAGTAGGGTTCCCTGATGAACCTAACCTCTTTAGACCATATCTATTGAATAGTCTGCCGGCAGACATAAGGAGTGAAACAAGTTCAAATAGGTTTAAACGTAAATTAAAGTCATATTATTTGGAAATGTCTTAACTTGTATATAAGTTTCAACGCCTGTATTATATTTAATTATAAGTATTATATTTAATTGCAATGGCTAGCGACTCGACCTCACAGTCAAACCATTGCAATGGTTTTGTGGGGTTTAAATTATAGGATACTTACCGATGTGATTTAACCAATCGTCTGTTTAAATGTGGATCCAGACCAGACACAATTAATTTTCTATTGTGTCTTATATACGGGCATTCAAGCGGTTAACGATAATAAAAAGACTGTTATCTCCACCCTGCTTACCAAATGTTGAGAATATGGCAAAATCCTCTGTGTTAGAGAAAGCTCGTATTCTTGTGGCAGTGCACTTTCATGGACTGTAGAAGATTATGATTTACTCACAACACTTTAGTTGTATTGTGAATGCTGACCTACAATAACAAGGTTTTGTAATTGGACAGTCAAGGTTTAATAGTTTTGCATGTTATTTTGGGAACAAATCTTTCATTTAAATACTTGAAAGACAAAATAATTTGTAAACTATAAAATTAATATTTTTATCAACTAAGCTATTGATCAAAATAGGATTCCTTTTAATTCTTAATTAATTTTCAAATCTTGTCTTATCAGTTTTTAGTATTTATATTTTATTTTTATCATCAAATGTAGACTGCATCACTATTAAAATGGCTATTAATTAGAACCACTCAAATTGTACATTATTTATATAGTGATTTAGATAATTTATTATTTTATTATTATATTATTATTTAGTATTTAATTAAGATCTATTTAAAAATGTAATGAATGTCCTAATGATTGCCATAAAATTCAATTTTTGAAAATAATGAAATAACTGAAACCTTTGGAATAAGTACATAATATATTTTATTTAAAAGTAGTATTTTTCTTTAAAAAAACGTTGCCTTGCACTAGGACTTTAGCTGATTCTCCTGTATCGTGGGCACCCACGTCACAATTTGTGGATCACACATTAATTGTTCCGTGCGGCAATCGAACCCGCGACACGTCGCACGGCAACCAGTTACCCAGCCACCGGGCCAATCGTGCAGTCTTTGAGTATGACATGATGATATAGATTAGTTTAATTACTGTATTCTACATAAAAAGGTCACAAATAGAGGAAAGGTGAAGGCCAACCTAGAAGTGGATAAACTTAAATTATGATAATCACATTATTATTATTATTATAAGGGTGTGGTTCATAAGTTTTATAACTTAAACCATTATTTAGATTAACATTCTCATAACATCCTTTGCTTGGCTGACAGCCAGTTTGCCTTTGCCTATAAAAATAAAATATGAATACTATACAACACACCTTATATTTTAAGGTTATTGAACTTTGTTTTATGTCTGTCTTTTAGCCCTTTAATAACTTCTGTTTCTCAGTTTTAAAAGATGGCTTAGAATCTTAATGATTTAAAACTAAGAAGTCACTTAGGGCCGAACAAGTTTCACTACTTAATTATTATTATAGATATTTATATTTAATTGTTGTTTATCTCAAATGGGATTCACTGTGAATCCATTCCGTGATTTTTGTATAATGAATTATGTACATTGTCGTTTTATTAAGATCGGTGTTGCGTTAATGTTTTTCAGATGACTTCAAACCGGCGTCAGTTGACGTTAACAAAATGGCAACGGTGGATGTTGGAACAAATAATCAAGTGACTGTCACTGTACCACATCTGGGTAAGTTATCATTATTTATTTATATTTATTTATATCTTTATGTCATGATATAATTTATTAATGAATCACCAAGATGTGTATCTATAATTATGTATCAACACAACTCTTGAATGGTTGCACCAAATTGGACAGTACATGCTGTCCTGTTCGTTAATTAGTACCAGTCAGCACAATTATAAGGCTTTTAGGAAACAATTCAACGATAAATATTTAGGGTTCGTTACCCTAAGGCTTCTGCCTCGAATTTTACGGGCAGCGAGGCGGCGGCGGACACCGCTTAACTGGAGTGCACTGCTCGTAGCCCTCTCCCGCGCCGCTTCGAGGCAGAGGCCTTAAAAACAAAACTGAACCAAGATTTTACAGTCCTACAGTTAATCATTCTAAAAACGTATGAAATATGCCAATGACCCTTAAAACAGCCTATATATACTTATATTTTTACCTAATCTAATAGCCTTCAATAGTCCTCCCAAGAAAAACAGGTCAAATGTAACTTGACCGGCTTTTTAATATCAATTTATTACGAGTATTCCAGGATAAGGAATGATCAATTATACCTAACTATTTTGGAATTTCCCTGCAACATTTTTGGGTTTTTCATAATAGTCATTAGGTTTTCATTGTACTCTGTTGTTCTAACAGGAAAATATCTAAGGTGTTTGCAAAGCAATTTGTCTAATAGATTTTATAAGGTACATATAATTATCCCTAATCAAATCATATTCAGTTAATTATGATTGAATTTAATAAGTTTAACGACTTGTCAAATATAGTTATTATTTGTTCCTCACTGTAATGCACAGGAGGCCTTCACCATAAGTAGCAGACCTTCTTTCTTCGAATATTGACATTTCGACATATGTGTACTTAATAGGAAAACTATACATGTATTTTATACTCCTTGTGAAGTGCGCGTGTTACGTGGACCTGTAAATTTTCGGTATCTTGAGATTCCTAAACCTAATAAGCGTAGGGCAATTCATGATCATGGCTTTTTTACCATAAAATAAAATAAAATAATGTATCATTATTAAATCATCGTTGATTCAGAGAGTGTTATTTTTCAGTGTATAAAGTGCCAAAAGATTAACCAATAACTTTGTTCCCGACAGATGGCGCGGGAGTACCTCAGACCATTTTCAAAGGCAACCAGAGGCCTTACACCAAGGACTGCGTGCTCATAATAGATAGAGTTACCGGCGAGATTACTCTGGAGAAGCTCTCTAGTAATATACAAGTGAAAAAGACTAGGTCGGTATTTTTTTTATTAAATATATTTTTACGATAGAGTTGCTAGCGACGGATCGCCTAATACTAAGCATTCTTCTCACAGACACACATCAGAGGGGTTAAAAATGGCCCTTTAAAGTAATGTGAGGATTGTATATGGGGAAAGACCCATATTACATGGGAATGGTACTCCAACTAAATGAAACAAGAGTAAACATACTGAATTTAGAACCTCCTCCTTTTTTGGGAAGTCGGTTAAAAAGGTCTGATATTATCTTATGTATGTTCATATCAATATATTACATACAAACTAGAACAAAAATTTTCCTAATTGGATACTACTACTAACTAGTCAAATTCAATACTTTTTCGAACTGTCAAAAACGACAGTTTTCTATGAATTTTGTACGAGACAACATACTCATTTCATAAAAAAATGCTTAAAAGATACTAAAATTATATATCATAAAATCAAATAATGAAAGTGTCATTATTTTTTAATATTACATTGTATTGAACAGTCGAAATAATTAATTTTTGATTAGGGAAAATACCCAATTGAAGATTTTACCATCGGAAATACCATATTAGTTCCACTTATCTGTTTGTTACACACGTCATGACGTCACAGATATTCAGTTAGAAAGCGCATGCCAAATAAATGAATCACTTGCCTTTCTCTAAAAGAAAAAAAAGAAAAACTGTTATGTAATGAGATAGTAAAAGGTTCCGTTAGACTGCCGCAGTGATCTCGTGGTTACGAACCTGCGACTGCTAAGCGGTAGATCCTAAGTTTGAGTCGGTCTGTGTAGGTTTTTTTATGGCATAAGGCACGAGCAGACGGATAACCTGATGGTAAGCAATCGGCGCCGCCCATGGACACCAGAAACACCAGAGCCGTTACAAGTTCGTTACCGGCCTTTTTGAGGATTGTACTACTCCTGGGTACTTTCCTCTTTTCTCTTTTAACTGCCTTCAAAAAGAGGATGTTCTTAATTCCACTGTATTTTTTCTGCTACGCATCATAGACTCTTTTTTGCTTCAGATAAAAATTACTAGTTTCAACAGGAGTGATTTTTTTTATTTGTTTTTTATTAAAAAACGTTGCCCTACACTAGGATTTTCTCCTGTGTCGTGGGTGCGTTTCCAAACATACAAGTTCACATACACAATGACACCCAGACCCGAAACAACAATTTGTGGATCACAAAAAGTGTTGTCCCGTGCGGGAATCGAACCCGCGACACGTTGCACGGCAGCCGGTTGCCCAGCCACCGCACCAACCGAGCAGTCAGTGCAGTGATTCTGAATACTATCTTATTTACTCATACAACAGATGTGGATAATGGATGTAGATCAGCTCAACTGCTGGATAGCTGTAGCCAGTAACAGGCTGGTGATGATAATGTTCAACATACTGCATTTTATAGTAACTGATTGATTACTTTGAATATTTATTTTCGCAGACAAGAAACGACTCAGAAGCCGCGGCCCCTGACGCCTGTGACGGCGGACTTCACCAACACGACGCAGCGCTCCACGTCGCGCACGCGCGTCACTACCAACAGACGCAGTAACACTAATGCAGGTAAGAATAAAATCCATATTCCATTTATTTTTGGTAATGGGGAAAAATTGGAGACTGCCTCGTTGGCCGAGTGGTCGCAAGTACGACTGTCGGGCAAGGGGTCTCGGGTTCGATTCCCGGGTCGGGTAAAGTACTACTGAGTTTTTATAAATTCTCAGTAGTAGCACGGAGTCTGGAATTGTGCCCGGTATATGGCAATAGGCTCACCCCCTATTACATGGGACTCATAACATAAATAGTGAAAAGTGGGTGTTACATTGTACAGTGGCATAATGTGCACCTCTGCCTACCC